CCCTCCCTGCCTCCAGGTCCTGTCAAATGAAAATCTGGCTTAAATAAGTCCTTGTTAGTGAGTCAAGATATCTAAAATCAAGAAAAAATATTTAATAAATGTCACAGTAACTCGACCAAAATACTAACTGGTTTACTAGGAGCTTCAGCACCCACTTTGGACATAGTAATTAAAGTGATACTTGAGACAGTCCACTTAGATGCTTCATCTCATGGGATTCAGAGTCCTGCAAATGCCGCTTGGTAATAGTCTTGGCTTTCCTCTGTGCTGTCACATCTATTGAGGAGAATTTCCCAAGGCTGGATTTTTTCTGCCGATGTTGCTTGTCGGCTCCGTGGATGCCAGCTGAGGCACAGGACATTCTTCCATGTGGGTTTAAGCTCTCCGTTGCTGAAATAATCATTGTGCCTTCAGTTCAATGAGCTAATTTTACCTGGTGGAGTGAAGTCCAGCTTGCGATTGGCCCGTATGCAGTAAAGATAGGGATATGTTCCAACACTGGAAGATGTCTGCAGATAAAAAATTTTATTTTTACTATAATGCTCATTATACTCTAATAAAACTTGTTGATGAGTTTTGTACTTATAATGGTAACTCTGTAGAAAAAGTAACATGGAAAGTTTTTTTTGTTATCTGCTGGTGTATATTTTCAGGAAAAAAATGTGAACACTCCCAACTGAAACTCTCTTTAAGAATTTGGAAGCTCCGGAGGGCTGAGCTGATGAAACAGTTGTTCATCATTCCAAAACCTGCACTCTTGTGTAATTCTGATAATAGTTATACATAACCTGCTCTATGCTTTCTTTTTGGTTGGTTTTTTTTTTCCCCTTCATTCTGAGTGTTTAACAACTGCTGAATTTGAAGAATTTTAAAGCAAAATATTTGTTAGTGAAATAACCCATTAATGATGTTGTCACAGGTTTTAGAAATTATTTCCAAAAATATACTGTATCCTTCTTCGATAATTAGGAAGTGTCATTATCTGCCCTTTAGGAATTTAAAAAAAAAAAAAAAAAAAGTTGTTTAAAGTTGAAGTCATTCATGCATGAACATGGTTATCACTGAAGATCGAGAAAGTAATCTGTTCAGGTCATTGGACATCCATCATCAACACGTACATAACTGCACAAGCTCCATTTCATCACTGTCAGCTGCTGAACGGAGCAGTACTTTTTCCATCGTGCTGATGGATGCAAATGCACATTCTCAGCTCTGACCTCAAATTGCAGCAACAACACTGCAACATACTTCTGACATATTTTTCCTAAACAGGTCATTATACATGACTGTGCATCTTACACAGAAACGCGTCTTAATATGTAATAAAATTTCATTAACAAGAATGTGTTTCTCACTTCAAAACTAATATCTTTGATAATGAAGTAAAGTAATGAAATAGTGAATTAGAAAAATGGCCAATTGGAGAAAGCTGCACAGCAGTGACTCAAGATGGATATTAGCCTGTACTGGTTTTATCTGTTCTTTCCAGTTCACAGGCTCTGATCATTCTCTGTTATCTCTGTCTCTTGCTGTTACAATTAGCAGTGATAGATTCTATTGTAATTAATTTATAAAAAGTAAAGCTCATGGAAAAAAGGGCTGAAGGCTTTTGCAAATGGGTATGTGGCAGCAATCTCCTGTCAGCAAAGGTTATGTATATCAGCAGTGTGAGACTTACATCCTGCTTCAGAGGCACAATAAATACAGGGTTTTGATATAAGGAACTGCATGTAGATATGACTGTGGTATGGTGGACAAAAATTGAGATCAGGATCTTGTATATATGTTACAGGTCTAAAGAACGCAGTGTTATTTTCAGTCTGCTTTCTGTGTTAAGTAGCTGATGCTAATTAAAAAGGCCAAGCATTTCCTGTAAAACCAGGTGTCTGATTCAGATTTCTGGCAGAGGGAAGAAGGGTCAAATTGTCTTATTGTAGACTTTCCTCTTTTTTTAATGTAACGATGCACAGTACTTTACTCTCTCCTTATTAAAAGAAAACGTCACCTGTAGCGCTATTTGAACTTCTTAAAAAAATCCAGTAGATATAAAGTTTGTTGAGTTTCTCTCTTGGTGATGGTACCTCTTTCTGGAGTCTCAGTTTAGCATCATCGGAGCCTGGCTGATACTTTTCGTCGGGTGCTGGGTGTACCTGCAAGTGGGTTCAGAGACTAATCCAAGCCGCTGGGGGTGTTTGTTGCTTGGCTACTGGTTGTGTTGCCATTCAGCTTGAAATTGAGGAGTTCTGGGCTTTCCTGTTTATTTTGTTATTTAAATATTATGATAAATGTGCATGAAATGGAAATATTTTGGTGTGAGCATTCTAATTTCATAAACATTCACTGTTTCTTCATAGCTGTTAGTGTTAAGTTTGCACTAAGTCTACGAAATACTAATTTTTATTAGCGTGCTAGTGGGCATAAGGTTAGAGAATCACTTTAAACAATTTCTTTTGGTAGAGAAAAATGCAGAAATGAAACCATCTCACGCTTAGCTACATTCTGATCTGTTTGAGTCTGGCAGATGAGGGAGAAGGGAACAGACTCTGAGGTCTGGTGTTTGCATCCTCCAGTGGGGAATAGTCTGTGGCCGTTCTGACACGGGCTGGGAAGGAAGCATGCTAAATTGTTCAAATGAAATGCAATTTTTTTTTTCTTTCTTTTTCAAACACCCACTACAATACCTAAGACTGCAGACAGCTGTGATAAAAGATGCTGCTTTAGTCCTTTTTCCATTGGAGGAGTGGCAAGAATGAAATTCCAGTGTGAATCTTTCTCAAGGACATAAGGGATTAATATGTCTTAAAATAGACACCATCAACTTAGAAATGTATTTTCCGCATTTGAATATGATGAATTTTGCAGTGAAAAGATTGGGACAAAATGGTATTTTCTCTGTTCTTCCAGCTTGTTTGTGACTTTTGAGATAACCTGTTTACGAGATTGTTAAATTCTGCAGAGTCTTAAGAACTGTTGTGGTTTTATGCGCTTAAGTAGTCATGCATGCTTCCATTTTGCAGGGTTGTTTTAAATTCTGGTGATTGCATAGCACCACAAACTCTTTTTCGCTAGTAGGACCACGAGGCAGCCTGGAGGTAGGCAGCGAGCTCGGGGACACACACGCTGCCTTCAGGATGGATGACGGTGCAAGTGGGGCCGCCACCTGTTTCAACTATTTGCTTCAGGGGATAGGTAGCTTTGTAATTTGTCCCCTTCTTTTTCTGAGTCTCCAGCAGCAAAGTTTTTGTTCTTTTAATCCAGCAGATTGTGTTCTGCCAGCTTGGTTAATAACTCTGATATTTGCTGTTGGGGGTCCGGAGCAAACCTAGGCAGAAGGACTGAAATTGCCAGCTCTGGACGTGTAACGGAGCAGTTGAGCATATGCAGCGCTCCCTCCCACCGACGGGCAGTGACGCCAGCATTGCCGGAGGAATGAGCATGGCATATTGTTTCTCCTGTATGCCTGATTATTTATTTATGCATTCCAATTCATAATAGCATAATAACAGACTTGAAACAATAAGATAATTATTTAGCTTCTTGGGTGGTTAAAATTAACTGTGCTCATTGCATATTTATTCAGTAAAAAGATAGATGATGTTTAGTAATTGCCCAGAAATTCATTATCTGCATAATGTTCTGTTTCTAAATGCGTATTGCATGACCATTAATCTGTGCCAACAGCAAGCATGCAGCAATATCTGATGTAATTAGTTTTCCGCTTACATGCCAAGGAGAACATCTGGGCTAATTGCGTGTTGTTGACAAAAGTTGCCATTCTAATGGGGGTCCCTGTTTGTGCACACACACGCTCATTATACGTACAAACATACTCATGATTTCAGTTTATCCTCAAGCAAACTGATAGTTCTTACTGATGAGATACTCCTGGTGATTTGTTACTGGGGTCATACGATGTGCGCGGGCAGCATTAATAAATGCTAGCAGGAATAATATGCTCTCCTTTTAAACAGAAAACAAGCAACTCTGTAATGCTGATCCTTCTATTTTATTTTTCCAGCCACCACTGGTCCAGGCGATTTTCAGTGGCGATCCAGAAGAGATACGGATGTTGATCTACAAAACCGAGGATGTCAACGCCTTGGTATGTGACTTGGCATGTTATGTGTCTGCGATACATAAGCATCGTGCTTATACTGTTGCAATGACAGTATTAATCACGTCCTTAGTAATTAACATGTAACAGAATGGAAATTGTTTGGAAGTTAGAGATTTGGGGCTTCAGTGGAATCCTAATTAGTAGTCTGAAATATAATTATCTCTAGCAGGTGACTTTAAATTTTCGAAGTGTATGGTAATTATTCCAAATGTGCAAGTCAGTCAGGGACGTTGTTTTCTCTCTTACTGAGAAAATGAGTGAAAACAGCTGAAAGCTGCGTCTTTTTACTCTCTGTAGAGTTTCATTTTATGAAGTCTTTGCAGATCAGGAGCTGTTATTCAGCATCTGACTGTACTTGAAATAAAGCTTTACTGTAGGTCTCAGCAGTGAGAGTAAGGAAGCAGTATCTTGGCCACGATTTGCCCACAAAGGAATTACTGTTCTGCAGATTGGCTTATTCTAGCCAGAACAATGGTAAGCAGCTGTAAACAAGTAGTAGTTAAGTGTTTTGGCAGTGAAAAAAAATCTCCATTTGAACTTGGTCTTTTTGCCCAAGTTGGGAGGTTTTTTCCCCTCTTTGATTTTAACTTAAATCTATACTGTTAGAAATGAACTCTGCCAGTCCTGACTACAATCTGTGGCCTCTGAAAGAGGTGAGAAATAAAATAAAGCAGCAGCAGAATGGTGATTTCCAGGTGTTTCCTGGACTTTTGAATCAACCTTCCTTTTCTTCATGTCTTTCTCTGACATAAAGCCATCAGTTTATTCATAGCTAACTCCAGCAGTTTGTCTGGTGTATTCTTGGCACTGCAGCTTTTGCAGGCAGTGGGGTCCAGCCACCTGGTTCAGAGCTGCAGAAAGGAACTGGAGAAGTGAATCTATAGATCTGGTTAACTGGGGCTCCACTCCATTTGCTGTCAAGTGGAAGGAAAGACTTGCTGCTGTTTTAAATGGGGAATCTGATCAAAGACGACCTTGACATTAGGCTTTCCCTGTGATTATCACTACCTGTTTTTTTTCTTGAAATAAGTTCCTAAAAGTGCTTCCTTACAGCATCGTCTCCCTTGAGTTTCCTCCTCATTTGTTTTCCCTGATGGTCTTAAAGAACCAAAGGAAAAAAACAAAACCAACCAATGAAAAATAAAACCCAACCTAGATGAACATGGTAGTCCTAAAATTTCCTCTGGTGGTTTTTCAAAATAGCATTTTGTGTACAAGGTTATTGTAGGCTTCTCAGATGTTTTTATATCCTTTGGCTGCAAGCGTGGCAGTGATGGTTGCTAGGGAGATGCTCTCAATTGTCAGGTGCAATATTAAATGAAGAGTATGTATTTTATAGATGAGTACCATTGTACTTAATAGAAAAAGTCATTGAACTTGAATGGTCTTGCCCAGAATCCTGTTCAAGATGCTGAAAGTCCATCCAAGAATGCTTTGCCTGAACAGCTATTTTGTCAGGAGCAAAAAGCAAAGCTGTTCTTTGGAGTAGTTAGAAAAAACACCGGTCAACACGAATTGTGAAGATTGTGTTCTGGGTAGTGATTGCAACAAGTGTCAAATGCTTAAAATGTCACTAAGGAAAAATCGTAAGATAGCATTTTCCCCCCTTGTGCTGTGAGCTGGCAATTTGCACTGAGTGCTTACATTTCTATTTTAAGGGTGTTTTTAATTACTTCCATGTTAGTGTTTCTCTAGCGCTTGGTTGCTCACGTGAGAGGAAACTCTGACACTGTTTGGCAGCAGATTTGTCCTTTGTTGATCGTTTTGGTTAGCTGTGTTAATATTGGAATAGTTCAAATATAGGTAGGACAGGGAAACAAAATAAAACTCTGTTTTTGCAGCAAGCTTTGGGGATTTCTGAAGTTTTAGAAATTGTTTTTTGGAATCTGCAGCAAGAGAGGTATTTGGAAGGCAGAAGAAAAAAGCATAGGAGAAGCTATGCAAAATTAGAGATGTATATGCATGCTTCCTAAGAGAAGATTAATCTCAGAGGAAAGAGTATAGAGCAAATCAGAAGTTTAGAAGGTTACTTTTTTTTTTGTCTGGTAAAATAATTAGTATCTTTCCAAGCCGGGAAGTGTACATTGATGGAAATGGCTACGTTCTGGATGCTGCTATAATTATGACTTCTATTTTGCAACAAAGTGAAAGCTGTAACTGTTTAGCTTAGAAGTGTGGTTTTAGTTCATTCTGCCACCTTAATTGTCACTTTGACCTCTCCAGTCCCTAGCTATGCTTTGGGGGAACATGATGCTACTTTTGCACACTGAGGGCATGGACAGCGTTGTTTGCCTGGTGCTGAGCGATTCCCTACCACTGAGTACTGAATACGCACTATTTCTGTGGGAAATGTGGTCTGCCTGTAGGCAATGTTCAGCAGCCTGTTTTCCCAGGGCATTTGGGATGTTGGATTGGACCATCCAGACCACCAGATTAGTTTCAGGTAGACATCCTCTACTCTTGCTGTTTGGTACATTTAGAAATATCAGGGTGATCCTGCTATGTGTGTATAGGTGGGGATTTTTTGGGGTACTATTTTTACTTTGGGAAGAGTGTGAGGGAATGACCCCCAGAATCTAGGGATTATTCTGGATCTAGTGGTAACCCCTGGTTAGCTGGGATTCATAATACGTGCAGCTATGCCGCACCTTGTGTCTGCAGAGTCCAGTTCTTATGTGCGATGTCATCATTTTCTACTAAGTCAAAATGCTTCCTGTAAAATTTCCATTTTCACCTCAGTCTTCCAGTTTAGTTTCCCTTCAAAATATTCAAAGTCAAAAAAAAAGGCAAAAAACCCTTCCAGTATTCTTCCCCATAACTAATGCGATGTTTGAAAGCCAAACCACACATTTCTTTCCTTCTGTTTTTACTCTTTATCGCCTAATCCTGCGTTTTCTCTTGGATAGAACCCTGAAAAACAAAATATATGCAAAACTTTGATGTCCCCAGAATATCTTCTATTGCATTCGTATTTTTTGGAAAGTAAATAATATACTACCTCACCCCACCAGTGAGACTGTTGAAGGCAACATCTGCTTTCCCAAAACTTAGTTGCTTCTGTTTCTGCTGTTGGGGCGTGGTTGCTGATACCGCCTTCGGGGCTTGATCCTTGTACCCTTTTTGCTCGACGATCTGCCAGCTGGAAGAGCTGCTGCTTCTCACTGCTCGTTGGTGTCAAGAGCTGCTTGTGCAAATCCTCCCCCACCCAGTTTTGCCAAAACGAGATAGGTTAGGAGAAGGTAATGGTTTAGCTGACTTTGGCTTGTTTTCATTAAAGCAGAGCTGTGGAGCCAGCAAATCTAGGTGGGCTCCAGTAACTCCTGATGTGCCAGGCTGGGGGTGGGCTTGAGCCATATCAAGGTGTAGTGACCCTGGGCATCGCCTGCCTGTTTCTAGCTGCAGAGCAAGTGTGCAGAGGAAGGGGCAGCGGCACCAGCAGAGATTGCAAGGTCTTACATGTAGGACCATGTATTTAGAAGGTGGTTTATTACAGGATAGGGAGGGAAAGAAGGAACTCGTTATGGACAGACGTGGATGTATGCTGTTTATTACTTCTTTTTCTCATTATCCTACTTGGTACGGCATAGATTTGCAGGACTGCCTTTGTTAGGAGGATTCAGGCTTTATCTAGGTCTTCATACACACACAAATTATATATATTTCCGTAATATTCCTAAGCATGCTTTTTGAGGTGGTATGAGTGCTTGAGGGTACAAGTGCGCAAATGTTTAGGATTGTCAGTCTGAGGCTTTTCATACTTGGGATAGCTAATGTGAAAAACAGCTTGTTGTTCCGTTTGGAGTGACATGTTTGACTTGGGACTAAGAGAGACCCTAATGTGGTATTTCAGTAGTCTTGGGAACCAGGCCCTCGTCTCTGCTTTCGTCCAAGGAATGATGATTTTCTTTTTTGGCACTGTGGAGTCTTGCAGGAGAATAAAGCTATCCTGGAAGTAAATGCCTCTCTTCTTAGATGTAGCTCTGCTGTGCTGGAAAGTCTTCTGGAGGATTTAGTCAAGAACTTTGGAAGGCTTCTCCTTTGACACAGTATGACAGTTTGGTGCTAGGTAATAGCTGTGCTTTCAGTGGGTATTTAGCCTCTAGTAATGCTGTTTGATATGCTGTTAGTTTAAGTGGGAAGTGATGGAGAATTTATTTTTTCTACAGAAGGAAATTATGAACAATTCTCAGTTAGGTAAGGAAATTGAATATGAAATTGCATTAATGTTTGTGATGCAAGGTAACCAGCATGACTTTTGTTTAGAATAAATATTTTTTCTTTTAGAAGATAAATATTTTTTTTATATTTTATGAAGAAGATATTTGAACTGTGAAGAAGATTCTCCTGGCGTTTACTGAGAGTCTGAAAAATTCTGAGTTGCTTTGTACAGCATGTTAGTATTCTAGTGGGTACTAAGTTATATATATCTGTGCTGGTGACTCATGTTATCAGTGCCCTCAAAATGTTTGAGACAGTTAAGGATGTATACACCATTAAAAGCTCATGGCAGGGTTTGGCTGTAGCTGCTTTATTTTCTTCAAAGGCAGCAACATCAGCCTGAAATACCTGCATTTTCTGAATCTGCTTTTCCCATCAACTCACGAGTGATGTATGCTCCCACACTATCACCCCCCCCCTCAAAGTCAATATTGCATTTATAAAAATGGAGGAGTTATTTAAGTCCATCTTTTGAGCCTTACATTGGAAACTCACTGCTATAAACATTAAAATATTTCCATTAATTAGGATAACAGTTTCTACAGTCTCGATCTAGTCTCAAGGATTAGTAATTAATTTTAAAAGTTATCTTTTTCTAGCATGAAAGCTACTGTCAGCCTTGTGGAAGGAAAGCGTTAGATGGGGGGTGGGAGAGGGAAGATAATTTTTCTTGTTTCTAGAAGATCAAAGTATTTGCCTCTTCCACCTCATGGGCACTTGGCAATTAAAGACTCAGTCCAGAACAATCTTTGTTTCTGAGGGTAAACTGAAGACTGTGGAGATGAGAGGTGCTGGAACCAGAATCTGCATTTTCAGATGGGAATTTCTGTGCTTGGTAATAGCAGAAGAAGGAGTACCAGGCATAAGTTGCACAGCTTGACTTTCACCTCCCAGCTGGTGCTCACTGTTGAGCATTTCAATTTGCTTTGTGAATTACAGGCTTTAATAAAAGAATCTGTGAGAGGGAGGAAATCCTGAAGCAGCAGAGGTTTTCAAAAGCATCAGCTTTTGGCTCTGAACAGTTGTAAATAGCCCAAGAAGTAGCTGCTCCTTTGCTTTTAGCCTCTTTAGTAGTTCCTAACCAGTTCCCAATATTTAATTTTCCTGAAGTCAAGTCGTATTTGAATGTTTGGTTTTTTTAATGGTACCAGCTACTTGGTGCTATTTAAATAAGGTTTGCTCATCTGTAACAACAGTAAAAGGAGTTAATGAGCAGGACGTTTGTTTCTGTTATGGTCAGACTTGTATCAATGGAAGTGGTAGCCATTCATGTGCTTCTAATATAGTTTAGTTTATTCTGCCACCCAGGCAGATCCTGGCTGCTTGAAGGTGGTGGGAATCGAAACACTTCTTACCAATGAAACTTCATCAACTCAGTTTTCTGTGGTACATTAACTGCTTCTCTGCTGAACTACTCCTGTTGGCTGCTCAGGCAGTTTGGTGCCATAAAGAGGACACAAACATTTATTTTCTATAGCAGTTGCACTTATATTTTAATAGTAAATAACACTGTCCCAAACATCTTCTGATCTGAACAGCTGCAGTTGACATAAAAGTTCAAATCCATTCTCTCCTTTAAGATGTAGGCTGTGTTGAGGAGAAACTGTTGGCCTTTTTCTTAATGTGCCTGAATATTTTACATATGCTGATATGATTCATACGAGCCACTGTTCTGCTAATCTTCATCTACTCAAAGGCCCTGATCCAATAAAGCACTTAAGGACTAGCCTAACTTTAAGCCTGTGAAGGGCCTTATGAGTGTCACTGTGATCAGTTGAACAGTTTAAGCATGTGTTGAGTGTTTTTCTTGCTGAGGCCTTCTGTCCTTGATTGCCTGCTTGTTAAATTCTTAATTTCCTTTATCTGTACTTCAAAACAAAGAAAGTGTACAGATAATGTTAACATGCAGCATCATCTTTTCTATGAACTAATATAAGTCACTAATACAGTTTTGGGGAGAGAGTGTTTATCTCATCCCAGCATGATTTTCTAGCCATTGTTTAGCTTATCTACTGTCTCTTACTGACCTTTTGTGCCTCTGAGAACTGCACTTGAAGCAGCTCTGATTGTTTGTGTTAATGCTATTTGTAATCCTGTTACCATTTCTTCTCCCTACCTTCTTTCCTTGCCTTGATAATGTATGTTCAGGTTTTGGGTACTGCCAGACCTTTCCCTGAAATGACAAATTTTCTTTTTATTCCTTTCTCTCTGTTTGTAGCCTTCGGTCTTTAGATCATTATTGATTTACTTATTTGTACTCCTTTTACTACCATCATGCCACAAGGACACCTGTAGTTGAATAGACGTTAGCGCGCGGGCCAGACGCAAAGCCAGTGAGCTGTTTAAGTCTTGCTGAAACGGTACACGGCTTTGAGGAGGACACAAGGAGTGTGGTTGGACAGACAGGCAGATGCCCCAGTTCCTCTGTTTCTGTGTCAGCCTTGTGCAAAGTGTAAACAGGAACTTCAGGATGTTCCTCCGTTGAGTTGCTCAACTGCAGGCATTGTGTGCAGACTTCTCCCCGCCAAACTCCTGAAAACGTTGCCTGTAGGGCTCTTTTGGGCATTTTTAATTTTCTATACCACACACCGGGTTTTGTCGTCTGCTAGTTCATGTGAGGGTGAACTCTTGATTTGTGCCTGGTTGCGATAAATGGAGAAATTTTATGGTTTTTTCCTCTTGGAGAAATTAAACTTAAATTCAGTTGCGTGACTAAACCCATCTTTCTCTGAAGATGTGAATCTCACTTAATATGGTAGGATTTTGCATTGATTTTAAAAAGTGAAAGCTGAGAATACTTACAGAGAGTTATTCTTGTTACAGAAGGATAAAAATTCTACTTTTCTGTTTCATGTCTTTCCCTCCCTCAGTTATCAAATTTCCATCAGATTTACAGTTTAGTATAAAATATTGCTTATAATCAATAAAACACTGAATAGCTTTGGTTCCTTGATATAGAAAATTGCTTGGTCTTGTATTGTTAGCATTCAACTTCAAACTACTCTGTTCTGTTGCCAAACTTGGCTGTGTTGCAAGAAGCTGCTGCAAAATTTATCACTGACAGGTACGATAGCTATTACAAATACTACATTGTGCTGAAGAGAGATTCATGCATGAAAATGAACAAGCTAAAAAAAATAAATAAAACCTATTCTGGTTTTGTACAAATGTTCGATCAGTCTTAGCATATTTTTTGCCATGGATAGCCTTAGGATAGGTAATACGAAGCAGTAGTTAGGAAAGGTCTCGTATGTACTCATGTAGCCTGTAAAAGGTAGTCCATGGTGGATTATGTCTTAGGAACTGAGCATATTAGAGACTCCAGCTTATGATTTCAGTTCCTGAGCAGACACTGCTGGATGGACACTGCTTAATGTTGTTTTAATTTGCCTACCATGTGAGGAGGTGAAGTTCTGTAAGACCTTTCCCTCTGACCTGTGACAACCAGAGTGTCACGTCATCTGTCTTGTGTTTTATGTGCATGCCCAATATGTAAGTTCAAAACCTACTGCAGCAGAATTTGAGGAGTACGCACATCGTGTATGTTTTTTCAAACATACAAATATAAAAATTAGGTGCAACTTAATCTGGTGGCCGGTGGCTCTGTGCCTCGCAGTGCTGAAAAACAATTTTCAGCATTCACATGACAAATAGTTCTGCTGCACTGATTTGTCCACATTTATAGCATACTTTGAAGATAGTTCAAAATAGCTTGCGGTTGATGACCTCTTGGGCATGTTAAAAGTGATATTTTACTTGACAGGCTCAGAGGTACGTGTCAGGGAGAGAATATAAATACCTGTAGGGTTTCTGTGTTGGTATCATCTGCAGGAAGTGTTGAATCTGCTGCCAGCTTGCATTTAATGCTGGTAGGTTGTAATTTGATAAGTTTGATTGATAAGTCTCCTAGAACTTTTTTTGTATTACTGGTTAAGAAACCAAAATCAAATGCGTTTAGGACTGGAAACAGCGGTTGAATAGCATGATTAGCAGTATTAACAGTTCTTGTGATTTTTGTTGCCCATATTACAATGTTTAGCAGTTTCTTTTAAAGGCCTATGTTCTGGAGTCATCTGGATAAAGCAATAAAATAAAGGTTTTTTTGTAAACACTGTATTTACACCCCTTGAAGTTAGAAAAGAAAGTCTTGAAAATGTGACTCCCTAAGGCTGAAAATTACAGAAATCAAATAAAAGCAGATGTATTTCAGAAGTTGTATATATGATTATTAGCAATTCTTCTAAGTTTAAAGACATAGACCTGACGGGTAATATTTTCTTTATTTGTATTTAAAGGTCGATCAAGGTGTGCAAGCCCAGTTTGGGCTGCTGTAAACAACCAGGCTAAATGGTGTACAAGAACCTTTGTAGACTAAGAGGATTGCATCTTGTCCTTGTGTGTGGTTCCAAACCATTCTCCAGAGATATCCTTCTGAAGAGTCTGGTATTATACTGTTGATGCAAACTGCATTACAAAGTCTGATGTCCAGAAGCATCTGAATTATGTTGCTGCAATACTTAGAGTGGAAAATTTTTCTGAAAGAGACTCAAGGATGATGTCTTTCCTCATTTTAGATTTGATTTGATTTGATCTACCTGTGAACAGGATATCAGAGTAAACAGTGTCTCTGCAAGGTCTGGTGGAACCAAGTGATAAAAAAGTTGAGGGTTATTGGGAGGAAGTGTGTTGTTCAGACCTTGAACATTGTTCTTTCACTGGTTGAGGTTGCATTTCTAATTATAAACAGAAATACACATAGAAAAACAAACACTATACACAAATCCATTGCTCTTTAACACTAATGCTTGTGGTTATTGACCACATTTTATAACTGGACAATTTTTTTTTGTAGGATGCTGAGAAACGAACTCCTCTTCATGTTGCATCATTCCTGGGAGATGCAGACATCATTGAGCTTCTCATTTTGTCAGGTAAGGTAGTGTCCCTCATTGTTATTGAATAAGTAAATTAGCTTAAAGCTACAAGGAATACCCAGCAAAGAACATAAGAGTGAGCTTTGGGCAGTGCCTATTTCTGAATTTCATAGAGCTGGTTGCAGTTGTTGCAAGCTTATAAAATATATTTAAATTTGGTGATAGAATTATAAAACATGCACTGTGACTGAGCAGAATTAATAAACAAAGCAACTAGTTTGTAAAAACTTCTAACCATTCAAACTGACAGTATTTGTGGATTCAGAAACTTGCTGAAGTACTTATTTGAAATGTGGCCGCATGTCCTGGAGTACAAGCCAAGAATTCCTGTTAAGCAAAATTTATTATGGAATAATACCAAAAAGTTATGAATGAGTTTGAACAAATTTTAAGTGGTATTTACATTAGAAACATGATTCTATGAGTTGGGAAGTTGATTTGGAGAACAGAAACTGTGCAGTAGGATGTATCTAAACAAAAAATCAAAAAATATTTCCAAACTGTTGTAGTGACAAAAAGCATGATCAAGATATGTCAGAACAAAGCATATAGCAGCCATCTCTCAAGAAGTACACATAATTCATGGCAAACTCCTGGATATGCTTGCATATTTCAAAGGCAGTGTTTTTCTAAACTGGAGAACTGTGAGGGTAAAGCTTATGGGGGTTTAAGAATGTGGGATTGAAAGGAACCTTATGAAACAAACGTCTATCCCCTTGCAAGCAACCTTGCTGTATGATTGGTTTCACAAATTATTTGACTGCTTCTTCAAATGAGTTGCATATTTTTGGGAAAGTTATTTTAGAACTATCAGTCCTGTGATTGCGAGGCACCTTCTAATTTCCAGCCTTGAATCCTAGAATGATTCAGGCTGGAAGGGATTTCGAGAGGTTACCTGATCCAGCCCCCTGCTTAGAGCACCAGCACATTTCAAAGTTAGATCAGGCTGCTCACAGGCACATGCAGACCACACAAACGTATTTCTTCGGTTTTCCAGCCTAACTACACCTGGAGAAGGCAGGAAGTGAGAATTCAGTTTGCTGTAGCTATGTGTTCCCTCTGCACATTTTTGGGGGCATTTTGAGTTGTCTAATTGCTTAATGAGGTTAACTAGTTGGACATACCTCGTACATCAGATATTTCTGCTCTAACCCTGATGCCAGCAGAATGATTTAAATGAACATTCCTCCACTGACAGGTTATGCTTGGGTGGGTTTTCAATATGCTAAATGCAAACATGATTTTCTTCACTGGGAGGTAAGAGTTAATAAACTTCATCTGTGCATGTGTTCTTGTAGTGTGTGTTGTTCGTCACATACTGTTGTTCCATTGTGGTTTGAGAAGATTGCAGGAGCAATGTCTTTTTTCAAGTTTTGCAAGTAACGGCACAGGCAATATCCACATAAAGAGAAAGGTGAAGCCGTTCTGCGTATTTCTCCCCTGAATCCCAGTAGCATCAAAAAATGTCCTGGTGAACATTCTTATTTTCTGTCACGTTCCTAATGAGGGAAGGAGACTTTCTAGTGTTCTTCTGGGACACTTAGTTCCAGCACCTCACTGCCAAAATGTCATCCACGGGCTATAGGGTTTGTCTGGTCAACAGCATAAAATGCAGGTGATATATCTTGGGGTTTTTTTATATATCCAATAGAGTGTGAAAAACTTATAACGTGGGCTTTTAAAAATTGGACTTCGTGTCGGTGCGACTGTGCTGGGGTTCAGTCTGCAGTAACTGTGTGGATCTTTCCCAACTAGCTCAGCATGAGTCAAAATTTATCTTGTGTTGCATATTCTGCTTATCATCCTTTAATCTCTGAAGTATCATTACTCATGATGAGCATCAGTACTTGTATCCAAGAGCAGGTTTGGAGGTTTATGAGGTTTGGTGGAGCAAATTTATGAGTTATTATAAACACCTCTTTGTTATTGTGACCTCTTTGTTATTGTACACCCTCAGTAAGTTTGCAGACCACACCGAGTTGGGTGGGAGTGTTGATCTGCTGGAGGGTAGGAAGGCCCTACAGAGGGATCTGGACAGGCTGGATTGATGGGCCGAGGCCAGTTGTATAAGGTTCAACAAGGTTAAGTGCCAGGTCCTGCACTTGCGTCACAACAGCCCCATGCAACGCTACAGGCTTGGGGAAGAGTGGCTGGAAATCTGCCCAGTGGAAAAGGACCTGGGGGTGTTGGTGGACAGCTGGCTGAATAGGAGCCAGCAGTGTGCCCAGGTGGCCAAGAAGGCCAATGGCATCCTGGCTTGTATCAGGAATAATGTGACCAGCAGGACTAGGGAAGGGATCATCCCCCTGTACTTGGCACTGGTGAGGCCGTACCTCAAATACCGTGTTCAGTTTTGGGCCCTTCATTACAAGAAGGACATTAAGGTGCTGGAGCGTGTCCAAAGAAGGGCAACGAAGCTGGCTGAAGGGTTTAGAGCACAAGTCTTATGAGGAGCGGCTGAGGGAGCTGGGGTTGTTTAGTCTGGAGAAGAGGAGGCTGAGGGGAGACCTTATCGCTCTCTACAGCGACCTGAAAGGAGGTTGTAGCAAGGCAGGGATCAGTTTCTTCTCTCAAGGAACAAGGGACAGGATAAGAGGAAACAGCCTCAAGTTGCACTGGGGAGGTTTAGATCGGATATTAGGAAAAATTTCTTCACCGAAAGGGTAGTCAGGCATTGGACCAGGCTGCCCAGGGAAGTGGTTGAGTGTCCATCCCTGGAGGTATTTAAAAGACAGGTAGATGAGGTGCTTAGGGACATGGTTTAGTGGTGGACTTGTCAGTGCTAGCTTAACGGTTGGACTTGATGATCTTAAGGGTCTTTTCCAACGTAAACAATTTTGTGATTCTATGATTCTCCATGAACTAGGCTTCAAAGACAACAGCAGCATCTTCCCTTTGCTTCACCTCTTTGTTCAGTGAACTGTATTAGTAAAAGTGTATCATAAAATATTAATCTGATCATAAAATTTAGTTACATAAGCAGAAAAACTTTGTTATCTGACTTAAAATGAGAGGTTTTTTTCACAGAGAGAAAGCACGAAAATGCTTGCTGTTGGCGTCAAACAATAATATTCTCAGCATGAGTAGAATCTAGGAGGAGTAGCAACCCTAATTTTGTACAGGGCTCAGGAGAGAAATTAAATGAACTATGCACGTTCTGAGATTTGTGGCCCATGAACTGGTGGCAGCATAAATAAATGTAGTGTCTAATGAATCAAACTTCTGCCCAGGAGGTTGGAGACAGACCAGAAATGGCTTTCTAGGTAGCCACTGAAATGGAGTCTGTTTGGAACTAATACAGGAGAGAGAGTGCCAGATCCCTCAACTGGTATGGATCACCCCAGCCCATTAAATGTCATAGCTAGGTAGATTTACACCAGCTCGAAGGTCTGATCCATAATCATATGGTTGAAACTGGGGAAATGTGCTGTGTGGTTTTGTTTTTCCAGGCTGCATGAAAGCAGGGAGCTTTGAGCACTTCTTCACCTCCGTTCTGTCAAGGAGAAGGACCAGGGTAACCACCTCACACAAATGAAGCTCTGTATGATGACACAGTCATGGATGTGCAAGAAGAACTGTCTGGGCAAATACAAGCTCAGTTCTCATTTATGCCAGTGCCTCTCCTACTCCTGGGCTTTGAGCTGGTGCCCTAGGGCATAATGTTTGAGCTCAGTCCCTTACCCTTTGTTCCCCACCAAGGAGCTTGCAATCTTGGCAATATTACCATGCCTTACTGTTTCAGAAGGCTCTGAGCTTCTTGGCAAGAAGTTTATGCACTGGGGGTGCAATATTGACATCCATCTTTCATAAATTGCACAATAGCTGAGGAAAATGACAAACCCCAGCATGCTTTGGAAGGGTTCCTGGTAAGCTCTGCCACATAGATTTGGAAGGGAGACTGTCGCATGCGGAGCAGGTTCTGGGCCGTCCCTGTTACGTAAGCAGCAGGGGAAGATGCTGTGTAACCTGAACACACATTCAGGGCTTCCTCTTTTACGGCAGGCTAAAGAACAGGCGGGTTGGAGAGGCAGCCTTCTCTCTGCCTCTCCCATAGCTTTGAGGTTCCTGTCCTTGGAGATTAGGAGCATCCCCTTTGGGTGAAAGTTTGGAGGATGTCCCAAGACTGTCTCCTCTCTCCTTCATGAGTGACGCAGGACCTGTGTGCTCTTACCTGGTGGGATCCCTGGGCCATTTTCTTCCCTAGCAGTTGACTCGGACTTGCCTCCGAGGAGATCCTGCGGAACCTCCTGTTTCTGCCATGTAGGTGTTTGGTTCCTGTGTTCACATCCAGCACGGTGTTGTGTTGCTCTCATGTTGTGGGTCCCAGTTCCATCTATTGGGTGGTGCCGCTCTGTTATATTTTATTTGTGCTGATCTTTGCTTTGTATTGTGTGCCTGCGTGTGTGGGGTGAGGTGGGGGGGCATACCTTACATTTGTGTGTGTCTATTGCTGTGTCTCATAGCAGGAGTTGGAAAGGTGCACGTTTATAATGTCATTAATAGGTTAAAGAGTAGAGTTTCCTTCCTCCATTTACCATCCCTAATTTCAGAGATTTAGACTGCAGAAATCTAGATTTATTAGAGACCTGTGGATTTGGCAGATGTGCTGGATGGAAAATTGTACTTTGGTTAGGATAAAGAGATGTTAACTTTATTCCTGAAAGCCAGCATCGTGTTGTTTATTTCGGATCTCAAAAGAACAGAGACAATCTCAGATTTGTTTCCTCTTTTGGCAGAAAAATTTGAGTGTGAAAGATGGCAAAGATTACAAAACAGCCATATTAAAGAAGAGTGGATTACAGAAAGTTTCCTCTCTGTTGATTTTATCTGTAATGTTATATGTTAGGTTGTTTACTTCAGCCTCACAGAGCAAATCCAACAGCCAAGCCTTTCCTTCAGGCCCACGAGTACAAGCCTTCCCGAGGGCAGAGTGCAGAGGATGGGGCTGAGAAAAGGCTTTTCTCTGGAGAGGGTTTTTTTTAAGTGGGTATTTTATTGGGTGGGTGGGTGCTGTGCCTACCTGAAAGGATGTAGGCACATCCTGATGTTAAGGGAAATCTTTAAAGCAGCTTATCTTTGCAAGGAAGATTGTATTATGAAGGGACACCGTATACACCAATTTGAGTGTCTTATCAGCCCTCTCTGTCCTTACAAATGCACAGATTAATTTATTGGGTGTTGTAGGAAGTGCATTGAAACATGGTTAAGGCACTTTGTCCAGAGTGAAGAGAGGGACACTGAATTTCTGGGTGACTTTGAGGAAGTGTTGTGGGATGGACTTGAAAATTTAAGCTTCTGATTTTTGGACACAGCTCATTTTAGGTGCCTTAGCATGTTGTAGAGTGCTTAGTCTTCAGAGTTGGATTTCTGTGTTACTCAATGCTTTTGAAGAGCTGTTCCCTGGACTGTCACAGGATGGATGCTCAAGTTCCTGAAGTGTAGAGACACCTTTGAAAACATGATCATTGCTCCTCGGGTGCTTCTGCTTGATCTCCTTTAAAATGGCAGATATTTTCTATCCCTGAAGAAGTGCATCAGTGCTGGTGAAGTTTTTTCATTGTCATTAACTGTTACCTGCAAGCAACTGCTGGGAACCTAAAGCTGAATTTTGGTGAAGGAAATGGGCAGTATGGAGGGAAACATTTTGAAATGTCTCTTCAGAAAATGTGTACCTCACTAAATGGAGAACAGCAGCTCTTGTAACAGGCAACAGCTGAATTGTGTAGCTCTTTAAAAACAGAAATCAGAAACGTATTTAGCCAATGAATTGAATTAGATATGTAAGAGCAATTTCACCTTGTCACATAAAGAGCCCCAAAGCACAAAGAGGTAAGGTGATGTGGAAAACAGCTGAGAAAGAAAAGGCTGATCGCATGCTGTGTATTATTTTATTTATACCGGTATTGTTCTGCTTTTATTATTTTCTTTAGCTGTTTTCTTGGCAACTCTTTCAGTTCTCAAAGGGTAAGTGGATCAGTGAAAGGCATGAATAGCTACCGACAGAGACACTTGCCTAGGTTTTCTAATCATCTTCATATTCACCAATGCCACTGGAGTTGTTGAATACTGAGGAATGATAAGTTTGTCACACTTTGCTACTCCACACATAAGCCTTTCTGATTTGCAACCATCCGCTTGTAGGAGTTAGTGAATGGGTAGAAATAAACCAAAAGAAACCTTAGTTAAGAACGTAAGGCAAAAAACCAAGGCAAATACAAAATAAATTTCTAAACCCAAAAAGAGGTATTTGGTGGCAATCACTAGGAATTCATCTAGGCAATCTGCATCCCCAAGACCTCTACCAGGCCAAATCCGTGTAAAGGAAAAGTGCCTTGAAGTCTGTCTGTTAGCTTTCTGATGGTGGAGGAGGTTGTTGCCTTATGTGTCTCTAGAGCCTGCGGCAGTGTAGGCAAAGGGCAGGATACTAATGGGTATCAACCCTAATGGCCTTCTCATGAAGACAAAAGAAGCTAACAGCTTCCTTGCTTAGGCAGATTCGTTAGAAAACCCTTTGAAACTGTTGTCTTTTCTAAAGAGTGTTTTTCCAGAGGGCAGCTTGTACCATCAGGTACCAGGTTCTGAGGTGAGTTCGGAGGATTGCCTCTAATTGTTGCAACAGTTATGAAAGTGGCTTTCTTTTTCTTGCAGCCAAAAAATTATATCCCAGCTTGTGGAAATATGAAAGAACTTGTTTCTTCTCTGATTATCTAGCACAATTCCTGGTAACCACTGTGATTCAGAGGCAAGCACCTTAATATTCCTGAGAAACGGCTCTCAGAAAGTACTTCTGATTCAGAGAGTGTGATTTATTAATTACAGGCTTTTGTATGCACTTAAGTTATGGTGCAAAATGAAGCTTAAGAATCCCTTTGTTCATGAAGTTCAGAGGCTCATCCGGGCTATGTGCGTGACGCTTGTTCTTCTCTAAAATGTTTCTGCGTGTGCTAGACTTCTCAGACTAGTTACTGCTACGTGCAGACCTGAGAGGTACAACATTTTCAGGTTAAGCCCTTTTTAAAATTAGTTTCTCTAGTCCTTTTCACTAGATTTCCTTTCTGGGGTGTCACATCAGGAATAGCTTTAATATTTCTTTCAAACAAATCCGTTTTCTTTCAAACGAATCCGTTTTATCACACAAATGTACAGAATCTTTTTTTTTTTTTGTGTGTGTGTGTGTGTGCAGTCAGCCGGCACCACTGCAGTTGTTAAACATTCTTTCTTTATTCTGGCAAGCCACCCCAAACCCATCTTCTGGCACAGCTGTCTTTGTCGGAGTGCACATTAGCGCT